CTCAGGTGCGATGCGACAGCACTCTCTTGTGTGGTAAAACGACCTTCAAGCCGTGCGATGCAACCGATATCGGATTAGCACCATTTAACTAGCCCAAACACAGCTATTATAAGTTTTTTGATTGCCAAATAGACAAATAGTGTTGGGCACTATTGGTAGCATCTAGTGATTAATTTAACAAATATATATATACTATGTACAAGTACTATTTTTTATAACGCTTAGCATTAAGGAGTTCCGAAGTCATGATAATCATGTATTGGAAACTGATAAAGCAAACCTGAATTATTATTGTCCTTCCAATTGAAGAGTCCAGAGTCCCGAATTGTTTACTCTAGCAAGCAAATAGGACATAAACAGCTGGGTAAAGTGCTACAATGGAATGTATTAACCGAATGTTGTTTTTGTTTGAACAAATGTTTTGTTCTCCCTTTGTAAAATACGCAATTACACACTTGTACAGCTTAGTATATTTGTTTAACGTTGTGTTTAGAAGAGCGGTAAATTCTTTAGAAGTCACTTAAATATTATCTTGCAATATTTTTTAAAAATCCATAAGTCTATTGGTTGGGTACCTCTATCCCATTCGTGTTTCAACCGTGAAGCAGCTGTTTTTGCATAGGTGTGTTTCGGTTTGAAGGGTGTGATATGGCGTAAATTTACTGGGTACAGAGGAATAACACCTAAGTCCTCAGGAATTGCAACGCATGGAGGGTATCATGGGCGAAACAGTATACTCTGTTATGTCCCGCCTGCGCTAACGGGATACGCTGGCGGAGCCCCAGTGAAGGGTGATAGATGAGAATGAAAACAGGCCAGTTAGCCCATCATGACGAATTCAGCAGGAATTAACCATAATAGTTTTCAGAGGGAACCGCGAGGAGGTCGGCCTGGTTGGGTATATTGCTAGCAATGGGATTCTCAGTCTCCATTACTAACAATCCCTTTCTCCCTATTACTATGAAATTTGGTTTATACATACCATTTGGGATGGAGGAGGATATAGGCTACTTTTTATGCCGGTCAGTAAACATATCCCGGTCACGTGGACAAAGTCGCGGGTAAAAGCTAGTAAAATATATCTCCGTCGGCGTTACCGCATTGATCGATATAAAAATCTTTTATATTATGTCTAATCTATGATATCTACTTATAGACCGCCATTTTAAATAAAACATGTTCATTAATTTATAAGCTACATATACATTTATCCAAATTAAAAGTTTCAAAATAACTTTATTTTTAATCCAATTCCAATTTTTAAATCCAAACAGTTTTCTGTTTTGATTTATAAATTTTGATAGTCAAACGTCAAAAATTAACTGAATAAATTTTTACTGATATTCAATGTTCTATCTACATAATCTAAGTTTTTAAATGATCCAAATATAAATTTAATTAAAATTAACAAGAGACCGTACATAAATAGATGTAGTATCACAAGTTGTTTAAACGTGTATCATCAATAGTAATCGTTTTATAGTCTTTTCTATTCAATGACAAAATGGTAGAAAACTGATCGGGCTCATTGTATACAGTGTTTCCTTGCAGGAAGCGACCATGTTTGTGGTTTGAACGATCTCCAGTCACATTTATATGGAACCACAGAGTAAGCACGTGCTGTCCTATCTACTATGTACTTATACACAATGACAAATAATGCAATTTTTTGCGGCAATTTGTCTGAACGTTGCATCCAATTATATATGACTGGCTACATAGCCATAGCTTTACTCGAGAGAATTATGAATCACCTAAGATATAATCTATCTGCATACCGAATTTCATTCTAATCTGTTTAGCTGTTTAAGTGTAATTAACGAATATCTTTTATCATCTTTAAAGATTAACTAAATATTATTCTAAATATAATGTTGATATTTTTGTAACTCTTTCATTTATAATTTACCTCATTTCATCCACATCATCCGCAGAGTTTCCCCGAATATGTATGATCGAAAAGTTAAACAATCTTTTGATCATACATATTCTGTCGCAAAGTCGATTTAAATTAATCGAGTTTCCATCAAAACTCTCTTCCTACTCAATTTCTGTACATTAAAATTGAACTCAATACGATCTTATATAATATAAAATTGTGTTGCAGAAAAAAAACAGACTTTAATTTTTTTATGCAATTTAGAATGGCAAACGAGCTGACGGCCCACCTGATGGAAAGTTGTAACCGTCGCTTATAGACATGAGCAGTACCATGGACACAACATAGTATACTGTTTCGCCCATGATACCCCCCATGCGTTGCCATTCCTGAGGACTCAGGTGTTACTCCTCTGTACCCTGAAAATTCACTGTGTAAATTGTAGCAATACCAGTTATTTCGTTTTAAAAATAAAACTACTAAACCAATTTTGATAAAATTACTGTGGAATCAATTTATATATATCATTAAAAAAAAAGAATTCGACAAATCGGTTTTTAATTGACAAAGTTACGGAGTAACAAATATAAAAAAAAAATACCGAACTGAGAACCTTGATATCTGTTGATAAATAATCATTAGTTTGTAGAAAAAAAATAAACAGTAACGAACTAAATGTAAACGAAAAGCAAACTTGTATAAATTTTGCTGTACAATTTAATGCGATTAACTTAAACTTAAGCGACGTCATTATAATAGTAAGCATATTCTTTTAGATAAAAAAAGAATGTTCCAAATCGATTTATAATAGACAGACTTATGCGATCATAAACACAAAAAAATCACAACCACAACCCCAGTTAAAAAGGGGGAAAAGGATTGTTAGTAATAGAGACTAAGAATCCCATTGCTAGCAATATACCCAAACAGGTCGACCTCTTCGCGGTTCTCCCTGGAAACTATCATGGTTAATTCCTGATGAATTCATCATGATGGGCTAACTGGCCTGTTTCCATTCTCATCTATCAGCCTTCACTGGTGCTCCGCCAGCGTATCCCGTTAGCGCAGGCGGGGTTACCATACCATTTTCACCCATAAAAAAAACCTCAGTTAAAAGCCTCTTTTTTGAGAACCAAAATCACCGACATAGCCCGAAGGATAAGCAAGCTAAAGTGGCAAATGGGCTGGTCACATAGCTCGAAAAACCGACAACCAATGGGGAAGAAAGGTTCTTAAGTGGCGCCCACGTACGGGCAAACGCAGTGACTAAATAACTACAAACTGACTTGATATTTCGTTCTCACCTAATCATCCGTTACTGGTGCCTCGCCGGCATATACCGATAGCGCGGGCGGGGGTTTTTTTTTGGAAGGTGAAAATGGAATGGTAACCCCGTCTGTGCTAACGGTATACGCTGGCAAGGTAACAGTGAAGGGTGATCAATAAAAATAAAAACAGGCCAGAGTTCATCAAACCATGATAGTTTCCAAGAGGAACCGCGTGGAGGTCGACCTGGTTAAGTATATTGCTAGCAAAGGGATTCTGAGTCTCTATTACTAACAATCACTTACTCCCCGCGCGGGCGGGGTTACCATTTCATTATCATCCATTAAATATGAGCTATAAGGTCAACGGCCATGGGAATACCCTGGAAACCATGATGGTTATTTTTTTTATATCAGACATTAACTGTTCGCAATTAAATATAGGTACAGATGGGCAAAGCACCGGGTTTAAACCCGGTGCTTTGGTAAAAACCCAATAAACACCCATAAACTCCCATAATCACCCAAAAAAATAGGTTTTTACGTATTTTTTTGAAAATATGTAAGTAATACCAATAAATTATTTTTATAAATTGTATTGATCAATTCTACAATATTAAATAAAACGTTAACTAATAATATTTCAGGAAATTTTAAAAATCTATATATAATAAAATGAAAGTAATTAATTTTCAGTGTTTTCATGTTGCAGTTGATCAACATGTTGGCCTTTTGCTTCCCGTAGATACTTTAAAATTTCTTCATAACACCTCGTTCGCACACATGGCCGTATATATTTAAATTCTTGAGCCACTAACAGTCCGAAATACTCATTTCTTTTATCCTCTTCTCCATAAATTAAGCATTTAGAACAGTTTGTTTCTTCTTTCAGTAAATTTTCTTTTACTTTATCCTCGTTTTTTTCTTTGTTGCGACGACGCTGGGTAAATCATCTGGACACTGGGTCTCACTATCGCCAAATATATTTGGAGATCGGCTTCGGCTACGGCTTGGCAGACATTTTTTTCTTTCTACAATTTTAAATTAAATTTATTAGAATAAATGCTTCGAACACACGCGATCTAAGTACCTTTTGTGTTTATTATACCTTACCTACCTAGGTATAAAAAGAGTACTTACGTAGATTTTCTTTTATTAACTGTTTTATACGAAGATCTTGATCTCTCAAATTAGCATCCATTTTACTTCCAGTGATTATCAACTAAATTAATAATCCACAAAGTATTAAATAACGTTTTTATGAAATATTTAGCACAAAAACAATACCCTTTAAATATCGATCGTCAGTAACTGTGGCTGACTTACCTATATTCTAGCAAGCAGGACTGCCAGATGTGAAGGGGAAATCCCCAATAAATTGTTGCATGTGACTGATGATGTGAGCATGTTCGTTTCATAATAAAAATGTTGCCAGGTAACCAAAAAGTCGTATGTTTTTGTGCGAATTACGATCATAATCTTTACGATCGTACATTAAAAAATAGACAAATAATAGTATGAGTACGATTTAAATCGTATATCTGTCAACCCTGCTAGCAAGACAGCGACAAAATCACGTTGCATAACAATGTAGCCCAAGCTTATATCTTATGAAATATACGGAAGAGATACGGACTTAGAAAAAACAGAAATGTTGTTCTTTGTGGAAGTCATTGATGAAATTCTATGTATTTTAGCCCGCAAACTTTCTTCAAACAAAAACAGCGCCATCTAGTATCGAGTTCTGTAATTATCTCTTTGTTTATGGATTTGAAGTAAGACCGCCACGCATGCAATACATTATGACTGGGGATTCCCCTATTCGTCGACGCTGAATATGAGGCGACGACAATCACTGTCAAACGTGTTCACTATTACTCTGACTCTGGTAACGTGACTTCCTGGTAACGTGTTAGGTAGGAAAAGCAGTAAAAAAGTGCATATTAAGGGAGCAGATTTGAAATAATATTTATACTTAACAAGAAATAATTAAAGGTAAGTGGATTTTTGAATGATACAATTATATCATGATCACTTAACAATTTTAACTTAAAATTAGATGTATTATTACAAGCTTTTATTTAGCTTGCGTTATGTAAATAAAAGTATGTAGGTATGTTCGTATGTTGATGCAATTATCCTCAATCCTCAACCGACTGGGATAAAATTTTCCATACACGTTTATTTTGGATGATAGTGCATAGTTAGCTGAGAGTCGTCATTGGATAATAATGGTGGATAGCCTAAGATGTGTACTAGATATTTATTTTTAACATAATATGCGTAAGTACCTAATCGAATTAAAGAAGTTGCTGAGAAAAATACAGAACAATACGATAATAAACTAGCGTCTGCGTTTAATCCTCCGAGGAGATGTAATTTTACAAAGGTTTTTTGTATTTATTTTATTTTTTTTTATTAAATTTATTGTAAATAACAAGAAATAATCATTGTAAAAAAATAGGCACTCTATTGTTGAATTTTCGTCAGACCAACTAATCATCGTTCATTTTTTTAGGTTCAATGGGGAGACCTAAAGATTTACGCATATGGGAGCACTACCGTACTTTACCAAACAAGTCTGTTTCTTGCAAGCTTTGTAATAAGGTCTACAAATTCAGTAATGCTGCCAAAATGCTTCAACATCTTATCACTTGTCCAAAATCTCCAGAAACATTAAAAGACTCTATGAAACTTATAAAAGATAGCTCGTCCAAAACCAAAATGTCTGGACTGTCAGAGATAGAGACAAATGATTCTTTTATAAGCCCCTCGTCGTCTGCTAACACTACAATAAATGCTGAGTTTCAAGACACCGATGATCATATAAAAACAGAATTAGCGAGAGCTATATTTGTAACAGGGACGCCATTATCGATGGTTCAACATCCTTTATGGATACAATTTTTCGAAAAATTGCAACCAAAATTTAAAATACCTTCACGTAAAGCTTTAGCGACAAAATACTTAGATAAAATATATAGAGAAATGCGTTTTGAGTTAAATGAGGAACTAAATGCTTGTAGTTACTTACACCTTCAGTGCGATGGCTGGTCTAATTTAAGAAATGAAGGAATAATAAACTTTCTTATATCAAAACCTCAACCTGCATACGTTAAAAGTTTGAATACAGAAAGTAATCCTCACACTAGTGAATACCTTAGCCAAGAAGTTGAAAAAGTAATGAAAGTGTATGGAGCAAATAAGTTTCTTGTACTTATTGGCGATAACGCTAGAAATATACAAAAGGCATTCGAATTAACAAAACTCAAATATCCACATGTTGTTCCTCTCGGTTGCTGTGCTCGGTTCCTTAACTTGTTGTGCCAAGATATTGTAAAGATACAAGAAGTAACTGTGTTTATTATGCAAGCCATAAATATAATAAAAACTGTTAAAAGGAGTCAACGATTAAGTTCCTTGTTGATAAAATCAAGGCAGGGTGAAGATTCTACACAAACACTAAAATTGCCTTGTGCTACAAGATGGGGAAGTCATGTTACTTCGTTAAAAAGTTTGAAAGCAAATAAGATAGCTTTGCAAATATTAACAGTTAGAGAAGATGTGGTAATTTCAAGAGATATTAAAGATTTAATTCTAAGTGATGATTTCTGGACGAAGACAGGGGAATGTATAAGTATTTTGGAACCAGTCACTGAAAGCATATTTTACTTAGAGAGCGACCAGAATCGTTTGCATCGCACATACATTACGAGTACATTTAGAGATGTACAAGCTAAGATACGTTTTGCATTAAATGAGATTTCGACATTGAGCGAAGAAAGCAAACAGCAGATTCTAACATCAGTATCTTCAAGATGCAATATGGCAATGAGGCCAATACATTTTGCAGCATATATTCTAGACCCCAGGACTCTAGGAGTCGAACTTACTCAAGAGGAAGAACTTAAGGGTATGGAGTTTATCTACAATTTAAGCCAACACTTAAGTTTGTCAAATGTAATGGCAGATTTGGCGTGTTATAAAGCTAAAGAAAACTTTTGGGCCAGAGGATTTGTATGGAGCTCATTAGATAGCATTGAGCCCCTAATATGGTGGAAAGGTATTTGTGGTTCCACTGAGTTAAGCAAAGTAGCGATTCGTATTCTATCAGCTCCCTGTACTTCGGCAGCCACTGAGCGTTCCTTTAGTATCCAAGGCTACATACATAATAACAAAAGAAATCGACTTACAACTGAAAGAACTGAAAAAATTTCATTCATTTGTTATAACTGGAATCTTAAACATAAAGCTGAATGCGAGGACATTCAGTTTAATGAAGAAAATACCTTAGAAGCTTTCATTGAGCAAGTAAATGAACATAACAGTTTAGACGAAATAGAGCCTATCGAACCTATACAATTCATCGCTTGTAATAACTCTGAATCTGACAGTGATTGACTGTAGTTTTACATTTTACTTTCATCTCTTTCTTAATAAACTCAAAATCAAATTAAAAGTTTTTTATTCTGTAGGCTGCATAATAATATTGTCTATGTCCAGTATAGTGGACGTCTTGCGGCTGAGATGACGATGATGAAGTACAAAATCATAAACACCCAAAAATTTGGGTGTTTATGGGGTTTAAACCCAATAAACCCAAAACACCCGGTTTTTACCCACCAGACTTTAAACCCACCCAGGTGGATTGCCCATCTCTAAATATAGGCCTCTCCCATAAAGGGGGGTTTTCCAGTATTTGTCACGTTTAGCAGGCGAGGTAGCAACCTCAGTCAGGCTTTGGTGATGTGAGGAATGCTGCTGCATTGCTTTACCATTAACTTCTCTTAGTCGCCTATTGTGACACCCACGGGAAAGGACAAGGTGATCCATTCTATACCGGGACCACATGGCGGAACATCGTGGCTAATTTGCTATTATTTTTCATAATGGTCCAACTTATTTGACTTCACTCACTGGTACCCCGCGAGAATATACTAGTGCCAGTGGTGAGTTTACACCATTCTATTTTTAAATTTATAAAAAAGATGGCTACTACTTTCCATTAGGTGAGCCGTCAACTAGTTTTCCATTCAAAGTCGTAAGATTTGTTTGTTATCAACGAAACGAATGCTACATAATTATTATTTTAAAATCTCATTTCACGGTGTACGAGTAAAAAATTAATAATTGATCAATGCAAATATTTGCTGTTTATGGCACGGCACATACAATGCTAAATCACCGTGCGATTTCGGTATAAAATAGACTTGTAACAAACATTGAATAGTACCTAAAGCACGATTTATACCAGACGGCGCGCGTCGCTTTTTTAAATGGCTTTACAGAAGAGTAGTACAAAAAGAAAAGGTCTCAAATGGCCTTTTCTTTTTTTGCACTATATGCTACATTTTCACCGATTTTGATAATTATTTTTATTTTTATATAGGGATAAGGTTCTATATAAATTTCATCATAATTTCTCCTTCCTATTTTTTGTGGACAAATTATTGAACTGCACAAAAGCTATATATTGTCGCATATATTGTGCACAAACTGTCGTGTGATCTTGCAATAGAATAGACCACCCCCTTCTTTCCCTTGGGTGTCGTAAGCAGCGTCACCCTTAAAACCCCATTAAAACCTAACTACGGTTGCCAACTTGCCTACTAAGCGTGGCAACTACTGGTAAAACCTCCCTTATGGAGGACACCTATGTTCAACAGTAGAGAGTTAACAGCTGATATGATGATGATGAAATAAAAATGTAGGAAGAATGCTACCTTCGTGCTTTCATTGAATTATAAAAAAACAAATTTCATGCAAGTATGATCTTTAAATTACAGGCTATACGTTTTAATCTCCTTTACATTCTAAAATGCGCTCCGATGCGCTTCGAATTATACTGTTCGGGATAAATCGTACCAAGGCACTTTTTTATGTTCTGACATTTTGATCGAATTCGCAACATTTATTTCCGTAAAAGAGACAGATATATCTTGTACCTTCCTAGAGTCAATCAATACAGGGCTACTGTTCCCGTACATGCCTTCGATACCAAGTAACAGATAATTCGCAATGCAAAATAAGTTATTCACAATGCGTCTTCGCCCATTGTAAGTGTTAAGTGCTGGATAGGTTTATTGTCTGCAAATTCCCATTATACTGGGATCGATGCTCTCCCACGGGAAACCTCGTAGTCTAGGAGACAATGATACGTTCAAGAATGTCCCTTTTTTGTGAAGAATCAAACAATTATTTTTTTATTTAGTTTCTATGGATACTTTCAATAGTGCGTTAGTTATTAAATAATTTTTTTTTTATAAATATAGTACTCTTAAATGATGACGCTAAAAATTTAACAAAATATTTTTAACAGATTTGTTATACATATACAATAGAATATATTTAATGAAATAAACTTGATCATAAACATTTTAATTTTTTTTTTTACATAAAGTTTAGCTAATCTCTTTTTGTTTATGTTGTGAACCGTCCGATTTATCAAAAAAAATTTTTTTTTATACATATTTATTGATAGTAAATACTATTATTGCCAGTTATCATAACTAAATCTAAATTCCACTGCTATGATCGTAAAAAAATGGGGGGACGGAGTTGGAGAAAGGATTTTAGGATTTTACGATATCATAACCTTAAGAAAAGAGCATATTTCTTTTTAAAAGCCCGGCAGGGTCGGTCAGGTGTGCACCTGCGATGCCTCTAGTGTTGCGGGTGATCATGGACGGCAGTGGTCACTTACCACCAGGTGAGCCGCATGCTCGTTTGCCTCCCGTGTTATAAAAAAAGAAATTATAACTACTAATGCGTTGCTAGCTCTTAGACTCCGTATTAGCTTTCCATCGGAACTGTTGCAGCTTTTTTCTCAATAATCTGCCATAATTTGCCATTATAATTTTGTGTTTCCAAGCTTGGCAAGAAAAAATAAACAATGCCTAGAAATTCCTGTATAATTAAAATAGTTCACAATTGTGAGCGGATAATTTGTAATAATTCATTCTTTTTTCAATATTATCTAAATTCTAGTCTCGATTAAGTCAATTTAAGAAGATTTTTTTTTTATTATAGATAGATAGATACTCTTTATTGTTTCCTCCAAAAGATTACAATAGTAAACTTATTATAAATATAAATAATTACAAAAAATAATCACAATGAGAAAACAATGGGCGACCTTAACGCTAAGAGCGATCTCTTCCAGGCAATCTTTGAATGGAGAGGAGTAATATATAATTAGTTCAAGTGTAATGAACTGGGACTTGCGTAAACTGAATTATATTGATGTCCATTATAGGAATTGGCAACGAGTCTGTGTTCAGACCACAACATTAAATTAAAATGCACATTAATTATTTTAATCTATTATATATCACTTGACATATCTCTCGGCATTGTTACAACGAATCCAACGATAACTCAGTGATGAAATAGATAGCCGCAGACTGTTTACAACCGCAATTGGTAATGCCTAATGAGATAAATACTTTATTTGTTTTTAAACAATTAGAAAAATTATATTTAATCCATATTATTTTTGTAATATTACTCTAGTACTATTACTTATTAAAGAGGAAAAGGAAGACCGAGGAATACATGGGACAGATAAAAGAAACACTAGGTGTCATGTCGTATAGGGAGGTCAAGGATATGGCCTGGGATGGGATAGAGCTGGCTGGAACAAGATGCATGAATTAGTTGCACCGACAAGAGGAAACTCTTAAATGAAAAGAAGACTATTACTTATACTGCGCTAATACTGAAAGTAAATTTTGATTGTACTTATTGTATTACTACTTGTTAAGATAGAGTTTTTAAGAAAAAAAATTAAATATTGGATATATAAAATAATACTGGTCAAACTGGCACGATAATTATTGAATGCTTGAGAAGAATTATGAATTGACGGAAAAAAAGAAAGTAGCGAACAAAGCCGTGTGCACCGTAAGTAGTCTATGACTATTAAATTCAACTTGCTGAATGGTAGATGAAGTTTTGTTAAAATCTCACGTCTTTTTTAAAAGCACTTGTGTATTTGGGCTAATCCTTGGCTTTTTGCAATATATAAAAGATCGGTCGGTATCTAAAAGAAAATGTGCTTACCTTTAGATGGGAATGGACGAATGGACGTCCTGTTTGGACTTCATTCAAAAAGACAAATTCGTAGACTGAAACACAGCCATGCAAACACAACTGCTTCACGGTAGAAACACAAATAGGACAGAGGTGTCCAAGCAAACGACTTTTGTACAAAATCTCCCTCTGATTCATTCATCTGTATTCTTATGTTTATATAACGCGGTTTCGGCGATTGTAAATCATTTTAATGAACATTTTTAAATGAAACTTTAATTCCCGAAGTTAGTCATTTAGATAGTTCGACACTTTACATAATAAGCTGATAGTAAAAGTTACTATCTTTAGTATCTAAATATGTGAGTAAAAAAAATATAGTGTCTAAACAATTATCCTTTTAATATAAAATAACAAAGAAATCTGTCATACTCTATCCATTACATTCACAAAATGTTATACCGTGACATCCATTGTACTTTTAAATGAAAAAATTTGTTGCATGACTCTCGTCTGAAAGTATCTATTGCCACCCAAACATTTTAGGGTGAAATGACAGCACCATCATTTTCCCCCATCTTTTATATTATTTAAGACACTCCTCTTGTCTGTAATGTGTATACTTTTAAGGTGTCTTAGATAGAGAATTTTATTTTTACGAAGATTAATAGACATTGGATACGTATGTATACATATGTATTGTATGTGTATAGAGTATGTAACAGCAAACCCAATATGTGCATAATATTTTTAGCATATTGTTAAATGTAAAGTGAAAGTTTTGTTATATATTTATCAAAACAATAAATAAATCGGCAGACCCGGATATTGCTAAACAAGAATAATTCAGGAACACCTAAAAGTATATAGCAAGTAATCTTAAATACTCTTAAATATATTATCATATTTGTATTATATATATACATACAAAAGATTCCTCTTGTCCAAGTAACTAATTCATGTATTCTCCTCCAAACAATTCTATTCCAGGCCATGTCTTTGACTTTCCTTTATCTGTCCGATATAGTTATTTCGTTGTCTTCCACTTTCTCTTTTGTTCTCTATCTTTCCTTCTATGTAGTTCTTCCCAATATGCTCTTTATAAAGTCGTCATGTCGTATAAGGCAGCCCAGCATTTTGTCTCTTCTATTTTCTATTAACAACTACACAAAACACTTTATTTAAAAAAAATGTTTCGAAATATGTTCTTTGTTTATGTATTACTCTACTTGTGACGTCGTTCGCTCAACGAATCGTGGTTTCCTACGGGAATGAAATTATATATAGCCAGCTATAAAAAATACCTACTCGTATCTCATATAGAATGAAGTCAATATCGATAGTATATTTTTAAGGGAAAGTTCTACCGGTGGATCTATTTTTTTATTATAGCACGACATGTGAAACACAGAAACAACATGGTTCATGAATACGACCAACCCGAAAAGCGAACGATTTACTTCCAACGGTTGGCCGCACTATGCCCGCTCACTAAATGCTTTTTCACGCTACGTTTGAAGGATCTGAGTTTATAGAATAAAGAAAACACCTCAAAGGGCAAGGCTCTTCCACATTTTTACGGTACGTACCATACAGTTCATCTTTTCGTTTATTCAATGTACTGTGTGAA